TGGGTTCTGGGGGCATGGGATGGGGTTGAAGGCATAGGATGGGTTCTGGGGGCATGGGATGGGGTTGAAGGCATAGGATGGGTTCTGGGGGCATGGGATGATGTTGGTGGCATGGGATGGGGTTGAAGGCATAGGATGGGCTCTGGAGATGTGGGATGATGTTGGTGGCATGGGGATGGGGTTGAAGGCATAGGGTGGGCTCTGGAGATGTGGGATGATGTTGGTGGCATGGGATGGGGCTGAAGGCATAGGATGGGTTCTGGGGGCATGGGATGATGTTGAAGGCATAGGATGGGTTCTGGGGGCATGGGATGATGTTGAAGGCATAGGATGGGTTCTGGGGGCATGGGATGGGGTTGAAGGCATAGGATGGGTTCTGGGGACATGGGATGATGTTGGTGGCATGGGATGGGGTTGAAGGCATAGGATGGGTTCTGGGGGCATGGGATGGGGTTGAAGGCATAGGATGGGTTCTGGGGGCATGGGATGATGTTGGTAGCATGGGATGGGTTGAAGGCATAGGATGGGCTCTAGGGGCATGGGATGGGGTGTTGGTGGTATGGGACAGGGAGGTGTGGGGCAGGGCTGCTGTTACAGGACACCGGCGCCACGTTTCCCCCCCAGATCTGGCTGACGTTCTTCGAGGGCCGCTACCTCATCCTGCTCATGGGGGCCTTCTCCATCTACACCGGCTTCATCTACAACGAGTGCTTCAGCAAAGCCACCGTCATCTTCCCGTCTGCCTGGAGCGTGGCCACCATGGCCAACCACTCCTCCTGGAGGTGGGACCCCAAAGCCCGCTGTGAGCCCTGCTGGGGCCCGGCCTCCACTGACCCCCCTGCTCTGCCCACAGCTCTGCCTACCTCGCCACCCACCCTCTCCTCACCCTGGACCCCAACGTCACCGGCGTCTTCCAAGGGCCTTATCCCTTTGGGATAGACCCAGTGAGTGTCCCATGGGGGAGAGGATGTGGTGGGACCCTCGGTGGGGTGGCCCTGGAGTCTCACCCCCCTTGTCCATGATAGATCTGGAGTCTGGCCACCAACCACCTCAACTTCCTCAACTCCTTCAAGATGAAGATGTCCGTGGTGCTGGGCATCGTGCACATGGGCTTCGGTGTCCTGCTGGGGGTCTTCAACCATCTGTGAGTCCTCATGGCTGCACCCATGGGTGCTGGCCGCCCATGGTCATGCTTAGGGTGCTGGGTGAGGTCATCATGGAATGGTTTGGGTTGGAAGGGCCCTAAAGGCTCATCCAGGCTGCCCCAGCCCAGCTCTCTCAGCCTGGCTCCAGAGCAGGGCTGCTCCATTGGAGCATCCCTGTGTCCTGTATCCCTACCCTGGGAGCGGAGGACCCGTGATGCTGAGCATGGTTCACGTCCCCCTGCCCAGGCACTTCAAGCAGCGGCACCGGCTGGTGCTGGAGCTCCTGCCCGAGATGGTTTTCCTCCTGGCTCTCTTTGGCTACCTCGTCTTCCTCATCTTCTACAAGTGGATCAAGTTCAGCGCCGCCGACTCCCTGGTGGCCCCCAGCATCCTCATCCACTTCATCGACATGTTCCTCTTCACCTCCAACGCCGAGAACCTCCCGCTCTACCCAGGACAGGTACCAGAGATGGGGGACCAGCACCCCATACCCATCCCCTTCCCCATGCTGGGGGCAACATGGGTCTGGCGTGGCTGGGACCCTAAAGCCATGCCCCATGTGCCGCAGGTGCCGGTGCAGACCGTGCTGGTGGTGCTGGCGCTGGCGTCGGTGCCCGTGCTGCTCCTGGGGACCCCTCTGTACCTGTGGTGCCGGCGGCGCAAGCCAAGGACGGGGCACCCCACGGTGAGGCCGAGGCCACGGTGAGGGGCTCAGTGGGGTGGGCGCTGCGGGGTCTCACCACCGGTGATGTCCTGGTGCAGGCGGTGGGCACCGGGGAGCAGGAGCCGCTGCTGGAGGGGCAGGAGGCTGGGAACTCCGTCAATGTCACTGTGGAGGATGTGGAGAGCGGCGGGCACAGCCCTGACGCTGAGGTGAGGGGCTCCGGACTGGTGGGGTTGGGGTGGCCGCATCCCTCATTGATGCCCTGCGTCCTCATCCTTGTCCCATGTCCTTCACCATTGGTCGGTCGGTCATGTCCCATGTCCCTCACTGCTGTCCTGTGTCCTTCACTGACGCCCTGTGGCCCTCATTGATGCCCCACGGCCCTCACTGCTGTCCCAGGTCCCTTACCATTGGTCCCTCATTGCTGTCCCATGTCCCTCACTGCTGTCCCAGGTCCCTCACCATTGGTCCCTCATTGCTGTCCCATGTCCCTCACTGCTGTCCCAGGTCCCTTACCATTGGTCCCTCATTGCTGTCCCATGTCCCTCACTGCTGTCCCAGGTCCCTTACCATTGGTCCCTCATTGCTGTCCCATGTCCCTCACTGCTGTCCCAGGTCCCTTACCATTGGTCCCTCATTGCTGTCCCATGTCCCTCACTGCTGTCCCAGGTCCCTCACCATTGGTCCCTCATTGCTGTCCCATGTCCCTCACTGCTGTCCTGCATCTCTCACCATTGGTCCCTCATTGCTGTCCCATGTCCCTCACTGCTGTCCCAGGTCCCTTACCATTGGTCCCTCATTGCTGTCCCATGTCCCTCACTGCTGTCCCAGGTCCCTTACCATTGGTCCCTCATTGCTGTCCCATGTCCCTCACTGCTGTCCCAGGTCCCTTACCATTGGTCCCTCATTGCTGTCCCATGTCCCTCACTGCTGTCCCAGGTCCCTTACCATTGGTCCCTCATTGCTGTCCCATGTCCCTCACTGCTGTCCTGCATCCCTCACCATTGGTCCTTCATCTTTGTCCCGCATCCCTCATCTTCATCCTGTTCCCCTCACCGATGTCCCGTGCCCCTCACTGTTGTGCTGCATACCTCCCTGATGTCCTGTGTCCCTCACTGATATCCCATGTCCCTCCTTGATGTCCCATGTCCTCACCTTTGTCCTGTGTCCCTCATTGATGTCCCATGTCCCTCACTGATGTCCCATGTCCCTCACTGATGTCCCATGTCCCTCATTGATGTCCCATATCTCTCATTGATGCCCCATGTCCCTCATTGATGTACCATGTCCCTCACTGATATCCCATGTCCCTCACTGATGTCCCATGTCCCTCCTTGATGTCCCATGTCCTCACCTTTGTCCTGTGTCCCTCATTGATGTCCCATGTCCCTCATTGATGTCCCATATCTCTCATTGATGCCCCATGTCCCTCACTGATGTCCCATGTTCCTCACTGATGTCCCATGTCCCTCATTGATGCCCCATGTCCCTCACTGATGTCCTGTGTCCCTCATTGATGTCCCATATCTCTCATTGATGTCCCATGTCCCTCATTGATGTCCCATGTTCCTCACTGATGTCCCATGTCCCTCACTGACGTCCCATGTCCCTCATTGATGTCCCATGTCCCTCCTTGATGTCCCATGTCCCTCACTGATGTCCCATGTCCCTCATTGATGTCCCATATCTCTCATTGATGCCCCATGTCCCTCATTGATGTCCCATGTCCCTCACTGATGTCCCATGTCCCTCATTGATGTCCCATATCTCTCATTGATGCCCCATGTCCCTCATTGATGTCCCATGTCCCTCACTGATGCCCCATGTCCCTCATTGACGTCCCATGTCCCTCATTGACGTCCCATGTCCCTCATTGACGTCCCATGTCCCTCACTGATGTCCCATGTCCCTCACTGATGTCCCATGTCCCTCACTGATGTCCCATGTCCCTCACTGATGCCCCATGTCCCTCATTGATGTCCCATATCTCTCATTGATGCCCCATGTCCCTCATTGATGTCCCATGTTCCTCACTGATGTCCCATGTCCCTCACTGACGTCCCATGTCCCTCATTGATGTCCCATGTCCCTCCTTGATGTCCCATATCCCTCACTGATGTCCCATGTCCCTCATTGATTCCCATGTCCCTCATTGATGTCCCATGTCCCTCACTGATGCCCCATGTCCCTCATTGACGTCCCATGTCCCTCATTGATGTCCCATGTCCCTCATTGATGTCCCATGTCCCTCACTGATGTCCCATGTCCCTCACTGATGTCCCATGTCCCTCACTGATGTCCCATGTCCCTCACTGATGCCCCATGTCCCTCATTGATGTCCCATGTCCCTCACTGATGCCCCATGTCCCTCACTGATGTCCCATGTCCCTCACTGATGCCCCACGTCCTCACCTTTGTCCCGTGTCTCCTCCATCCCTGCAGCACCTGGACTTCGCCGAGGTCTTCATGCACCAGGCGATCCACACCATCGAGTACTGCCTGGGCTGCGTCTCCAACACCGCATCCTACCTGCGGCTCTGGGCGCTCAGCCTGGCCCATGCCCGTGCGTGTCCCCCGAGGCTCAGCCCCATCTCCCCCCCTCTGTGCCCTGCTCACCCCCTCTGTGCCCCGCAGAGCTCTCGGAGGTGCTCTGGTCCATGGTGATGCGCAACGGCTTCGTGCGCCTGAGCTACGCCGGCGGCGCCGTGCTGGTACCCGTGTTCGCCGCCTTCGCCGTGCTCACCGTGGCCATCCTGCTGGTGATGGAGGGGCTCTCCGCCTTCCTGCACGCCCTGCGCCTGCACTGGTGAGCCCGGTGAGGGGGTGCTGCTGGGATGGGGTCCCCCAGCGCTGCTCCTCACCCGGCCCCTCTCCTCGCCAGGGTGGAATTCCAGAACAAGTTCTATGTGGGTGCTGGGTACAAGCTCTGCCCCTTCGCCTTCGCGCCCGCCTCTTGGCAGTAACCGTGTGGATGCTGGGGGTTGGAGCCAAAGCCCTGCCCCACTGATGGGAGCTCAGTTGGGGGGTGCCCCCCAAACCCCCAGGGTTGGGGAGGGGGCGGCTGGGGGTCTGGCTGCAGCCTCCCGTCCCTTGCTTGCAGTGAATAAAGCCCCATGGCTGGTCCCCACCTCGACATCTCTGTTCCTTCTGCCGTGCTGGGAGTCCCGAGGGGTTTGGGGGGTGCTCCCCCATCACTGCTGCCCATAGCCAAAGGTGGGGGCCGCGGTGGTGCTGTAGGTGCTGAGCAAGGGGTAGGGCAGAGCGTGGGGCTTGGACCCCACAAGGACACTTGGGGGGCAGGCGAGGGGCTGGAAGTGGGGCACAGGCAGCTCAGGGAAGCCGGGGGCAGGCACTGGTGGGGCTGGTTGTGGGGGTCCAACAGTGGCCAGAGCCCCATGGCCATGGGGAGCCCCTGGAGGGGGCAGAGACAGCACCAGCGCCTCAGCCCCTTCTCTTCCCCCCCTACCTTTGCCCTGCTTCTCGGGGTGGGAGGGCAATAACGTGGCCCGGGCCCGGGGTCCCATTGCCCCCAATAGGGACCCTGCCGGCACCCCACACCTGCAAGAGAGATGCGGGGCTCAGGGGGGTGCCATGGAGCCCCTCTCATTGGGGTGGGGTTGGGGTTGGGTCTTACCATGGCTCAGGGTCCCCATCCCGAAAGCCCTTGGCGAAGGGGTTGCTGGCGATCTTCAGCTGGGTGATCTACGGATGGGATTGGGGTCATGGGGGGGGGCCCTGTGTGTGTCTGGGGGGGTACCCCGATGCCCCCCTCCCCAGGGCTCACCCGGTGGTTCTGGTAAGCCGTCACCGCCATGAACTGGGTTTCGGGGAAGCTGAAGGACTTGAAGTTCTGGTGGGCGAAGCGCTCGCTGTCGCGGCGCGGGTCCACCAGCACCACGTGGAAGCGGGGCTGGTAGCGGTGCATGGAGTTGAGGATGATCTGTTTGGGGGAGCACAGAGAGGGGGACATGGGCAGGAACCCCCCCCCCATGGAGGAGCCCATTCCCCAGCCCAGGAGGGGGGTCCTCACGTGGCCGTTGTCATCCAGGAGGTTGTTGGTGAGCTTGAGCTTGTCGAAGGAGACGATCTGCCGCATCCATTGCGCGCCCTTGGCCGGGGAATCGGGGTGGAAGTGGACCCGGCCGGGTGCTGCCGGCTCGGCCCGGCCTGCTGCCAGCCAGGAGGAGCTGTGGAAGGCGTATCTGAAGGGATGGGGGGCTCAGAGCCAGCCCCACAGCATCACAGCATCACAGTATGTTAGAGATTGGAAGGGACCCCATAAGCTCATCCAGTCCAATCCCCCTATGGAGCAGGAACACCCAGATAAGGTTACACAGGAACGTGTCCAGGCGGGTTTTGAATGTCTCCAGAGAAGGAGACTCCACAACCTCCCTGGGCAGCCTGGTCCAGTGTTCTGTCACCTCACTGAGAAGAAGTTTAAGTGGAACCTCTTGTGTTCCAGTTTGTACCCATTGCCCCTTGTCCTATCATTGTTTGCCACTGAGAAGAGCCTGGCTCCATCCTCGGGACACTCCCCCTTTATATATTTATATACACTAATAAGGTCACCCCTCAGTCTCCTCTCCTCCAAACTATAGAGACCCAGCTCCCTCAGCCTTTCCTCATAAGGGAGATGCTCCCCATCGCCCCATCATCCCCACCTGTATCTCTTGTCATCCAGCGGGATGAAGTCCATGAGCAGCACATAATCAGAGAGCGGGTCCAGCCCCGACAGCTTCACTTGGAAGGTGGGGAACATCCTCCTGCGAGGACAGCGGATGGGAATGGGGTGCCCCCCCCCCATTGATGGTGCCCCCCCACCCCATTGCCCCATTGTGGTCCCCACCTCCCCGCCTTGGTGACGATCATCTCGGTGCCCAGGCGGTTGAACTCCTCCCAGAGGCTGCCCATCTCCAGCCGTGCCGTGGCGTGGGACACGCGCCGGTTCTTGCCGCCGCTCCCCGGGCCCTCTGCTGCCCACCCCAGGCTGGGGGTGCACAGGGACCCCCCCAGGCAGGCTGTGGAGGGACAAAGGGGGTGTTGATGACCCCATGCACCATCACCCCCCTCCCATCGCCATCCATTCCACAGCGGGGTTTATCCCCATCCCCATTGCTGCCCTGTTGTTGTGGGGCTGGCGAAGCCCCCCGCACCCCAAAACCACTCTGGGACCCACTTCTGCACACAGGAGCATGGCCATGGGGGGGGTTTACCTGCCATGGGCGCAGCATCCGCGTCTCCATCCCCTGGCATGGTGGCAGTGGGGACCCCAATGGAGCAAGGCAGCTTCAGCACTGGGCTGTCCCCTGCATCCTGCCGGGGGTTTTATGCCCCACTTAGGGGGTGGAGACAGCGCAGTGGTCCCCAGGGGCTGGAGCACGGCCCCTTCCCAACCTGCCTGCACGCCTTGATGTGAGGGTGATGATGGACGGGACTGCTGATGGTGGCCATGGGACCACCCCAGATGGATCTCGGGGTACATTGGGCAGGGAAGGGTCAACCCTCGGGGTCTCTGATTGAAGGACATGGGGGCTGCTCTGACTCCCTCCCCTGGTCAAAGCCCCTCTGGGTACCATCAGCTCAGCCATCAACACCTGATATTAAACAGCACGGCATGCTGAAGCATCCGCAGTGTTGTGGCTGCTCATGCAAAGCCTCTACAGCTCTGGAATAGGGAAATGTGGGATGTGGTCCCCTCTCCCCTTGCAGCCATCCCAAACGCTGGTCCTGTCTCTGTGCTGGTACCCAGGGCCCCAGTCTTGTCCCACACCTCCCATCTCCGTGCTCAATCCCAGCCTGACAGCAGGAGATGGATGGGGAGAAGCCATGGCCATGGGGACAAGGGATGTGTGCAGGGAGGTCACTGACACAGGGATAAAGGTTGGAGGGGGCAGAGAGCAAAGGGGCTGCTCCATAGCCCCCTTCAAACTGCAGACTCCAGCACCTCGCTGCACACCATGGGGCAGGATGAAGGATGCTGGGGCTCTGCAGGAAACAGGGGACATTATCACAGGGATGCTGATGGCTTCTGCCCCTGGTGGTACCCTGGTGATGGAGGCACTGGGCAAGGGCTGATATCCCTCCCTGCTCTGCATGGAGCTGGATCCAAACTGGGATTCAGCTTTCACTTGTTTGGGATCAGTGCTTAAATCCTTCCTATGGCCATCATAATGGAGAGGAGAGCCTCTGCCCCCCATGTGCTTCAGGGTGGCCATGGGGGCTGTGTGAGCAGTGAGAGGATTTGGGACCAGGACTGATGCAAAGCAAGGAGGGGCCATATCCATGCACACCCCCTTACGTCCATCACATCCATACACATCCATACACATATCCCATGCCCTGCGGAGCCAGCTCGGCCCCATCCATCTCCTGCTGTCAGCCAGGCTGTGGCTGCAGGGCTGGTATTGAGCAGGGAGATGAGGAGGTGCGAGAGGCAGAGCTGACAGCAGGAGGAGGATGGAGGTGGCTCATCCGCAGCATCGCACTGTGTCCTGCAGCTCCTGTGAATGGTTTTACTGCTGGAGAGAGAAGGAAAGGGGAGGATGTGGCTCTGGAAGGGGTTGGAACCCCAGATGGTGCCCAGATTGTGGGGGTTTGTTCCCAGTGTGCACTGCCAGTGTGCACTTTCCTCCCATGTTTGGCTGTAGAAGGGGGTTCCACATAACCCCCATGAAGGATTTAACCTGCCCGAGGGGAGACTGAGCTGAGCTCTTAGGCAGAAGCTCTTCCCTGTGAGGGTGCTGAGGCGCTGGCACAGGGTGCCCAGAGAAGCTGTGGCTGCCCCATCCCTGGCAGTGCTCAAGGCCACAGGGGCTTGGAGCAAGCTGCTCCAGTGGAAGGGGTTGGGATTGGAGCTGGAGGAGCTTTCAGGTCCCTTCAACCCAAACCAGGCTGGGATTCTATGATGGGCTTGGGAGCATCCATCAGAGCCACCAGCGACAGAAGCAACCTTAAAGCATCCCTGAAAGTGCTCACACCCCGTGGAGATGAGGCCTCAGTGCCATGGGTCAGTGGTGGCCTTGGCAGTGCTGGGGCATGGTTGGACTTGGGGAGCTCAAAGAGCTTTGTCTTTTGCTTTCCCTTTTGCTTGGCAAATCAGAATAACCAGAGAGTGAATTCTACCGCTGCGCTTCCAGACAGGGTTGTAAAGTCATGAAGGGCCATGTTAAAAGGATGCCAACACCTTTAGCAACATAAATAGAGAAGAGAGCACATAAATGGCACACTGTGCAGGAAGTATTTTCAGGTTTTGATAGTCGAACTCATTAAATGACTTCCAGAGCCATTCAGCTCATTTCATTTAAGATACCTCAGAATTTAAGCTCAAGGTGGTGCTTGTGTGACCTCTAGTATGAATGAAGGCACTTTGAAAGTGTTTTAAGATGTGATAGTGATGAATCCCCACCAAAGGGCAGATACTATCAAGGAACCCCTGTCCCCTGCTCCACACCTTTGCTTTCCATCCCCCTGTTGGCAGCAATAAAAGCCATGATCTCCATGGCAGCCTGACCACAACAGAGCACAGGAGCTGTGGTGCTGCTCAGCAGCCTTCAGACCTGATACCTGGCAGCCCGTGGCAGCCTGGAGCAATGCCATTGCCTGCCCTGATGTCTCTCCCATTGCTTTCCTGCACAGAGAGCTGATGGGTGATGAGCAAACATTGCATACATAAACCACCCCAAAACACTCCAGTGTGTGCATTACCTCAGCCCATAGAGCTGCAGCCTCTGCCAGGACCATGGTGAAGCCTGGAGCCATGGCTGAGCCTGAGGGCTATCCTAGAGACATGAAATAACTTGGGCTGGAGGGAGAAGCTCCATGGCTGGATTCAGTTAAGTCAGGATCTAAGTGGTTTGCTCATTTCTTTACAACACACAACTGACAGGCACCCAGGGTCAATCAGCTGAATCCTGCTTTGTTCCCAAAGCTTCCTCATAATTCCCTGGTTATTATTTAGCCCTGATGATGGTTATGTTCCTGCTGAGCCTTGGGGGCAACCGGGGCAGAGGTTTCACAGTCCCCTTGTCCTTTATTTCAGTGTTCCACTGCTCTTACAGTGGGGTTTCCCCCCTCCCTCTGTTTCTAACTGGAATTTCTGATGCTGCAAATTCCCAATAGGAAAGCTGAGATGTACCCTCACCTGCAAGGTAAAGCACATGGAGAACTTGCAGGAGGCATCGAGTCACAAAGAATGTGACACCATTAATCCTTGTATTAATCCTTTCTCTGTCCCTGAAATCGTAGAATCATGGAATGGTTTCGGTTGGAAGGGAGCTTAAAGCTCCTCCAGCTCCAACCCCAACCCCTTCCACTGGAGCAGCTTGGGCTATTATTTAACCCAGATGACGGTTGTGTTCCTGCTGAGCCTTGGGGACAACCAGAGGCAGAGGTTTCACAGCCCCCTAGTCCCTACAGGCCCTTGTCCCAAGCCCCTCTCCTGCTTTCTTGTAGCCCCTCTTAAGGTATTGAAAGGCCACAATAAGGTCTCTCTGGTGTTTCTACAACAATATTCAATGACTTTATGTCCAGCTGGTCTCTCCTTCACCATCACCAAGTCTTTAAAAAGGAACATGAACTCTTAGTGTCTTGGAAACACAAGTCTGTGGCTACAACCCTATTGCTCTGCTCACTGTGGCTTCACACTGGAGCTGTTCTCAAACCCAAACCTTTTTGCTCCTTGTTGTGTGTGTTTAAGTAAACCAGTGGTTTGCTGTGTCTAAGGGCTGCCACTGCCTTCAATGGGGTTATCATCTGACCATGAGAGCAGAGCAAACACCAGGTGAGGTTCTAGGAAGCAGAAGCAGCAGCCAGCATTGCAATGCATCTGCCTGGTGGGTCATGATGAGCAGGCAATGAGGAGGCTGGCTTCTGGCATTGCTGCTGCTGAGCTCCTAATGGCTTTAGCTCTCCCCTTCCAGGTGGAGCTGCTTTCATTGTAGTTAAATCTGGTTTAAAGGCAGCTGAGCAAATGCTGGGTAGGAGCTGCCTGCCCTTCTTTGGGTTCTTAGTGACTGGATTTAGGAATCACCTCAAATGTCTCTAAGCAATGACTCATCTCCTTACATTTGAATGCACCATGTCACCTCTATGTGTTTACTGGGTCCATCAGCTCCCTTTATTGTTGAAGGAGATTTGGTGGGGTTCCTGCCTCCCACTGCAAGGCAGACACCTCCATTGCTGCAGCTGAAGAGATCTGAATGAACTCTACTGATTGCATTGGCCTGAGTCTCATCAGCTGTAATGGGACCTTGGCTCATAAATAGGTGAGGAGAGACACTCAGGTTTGTCTCTTAGTATGAAGTGTATTTAAAAGTGATGGAATATTCTTTGGAGTTCTTGCTCTGTCTCCTTTAGCTGGGGGATTAGAAAAGACCCAGAAGGTAGAGAAATGTGGTTTTTCTTCTTGCTTTTGTTTGGAAAGGATTTGAAGAGTTGTGCTTCAAGCACACTGCACTGTGGTGATGACTCCTCTCCATTGTGTGAAATCCACATTTATGGGAAGATCCAGGAATATGGAGTCCCACCTTTTCTCTAGGTTGGCTGGAAACTGAGCTACCTTAGTTTTCCTTAATGTAGAAATGAAAGGCAGAGTCTCAGTTTGGTCTTACTCCCATTAAAACTGATGGCCAAGGTGTCTCTCTATTGTTTTTAAAAGAGAATTGGGAGATACTAGAATGGCTTCTTCTAGACACCATTGGTACCCTGGAGAAGGGAACCATCCTGAGGTCCTGGTGGAAGAAGCAAGGAGATCTTCTTCAGACACTGGTGAGTTCATCTCTGTGTCTGCCTTTACCACTGTTCATGGCTTGGAAAGAGATGGGGGTGGATTGAGCTGAGCTCTTAGGCAGAAGCTCTTCCCTGTGAGGGTGCTGAGGTGCTGGCACAGGGTGCCCAGAGAAGCTGTGGCTGCCCCATCCCTGGCAGTGCTCAAGGCCAGGTTGGACACAGGGGCTTGGAGCAAGCTGCTCCAGTGGAAGGGGTCCCTGCCCATGGCAGGGGTTGAAGCTGGATGAGCTTTAAGTTCCCTTCCAACACAAACCAGGCTGGGATTCTATGATGCAGGCCTGTGAAATTGTCCTTAATACACAAACATGCCAACACACTGATCCTCCAGGTCACTGGCTTTGGGCATGAGCCATCTCTGTCAAGCAAGGCACTTGTAGAAGTGAACTTTGCTAACAAAGAAGAAAGTTTCTTCCTTGTTATCCCAGCTAATTAATCTCTGATGGCTTGTTATGAAGAATGAGGTAAGT